CAAATCATGGAATACCCCAGCATTTAAAATAATCCATGATAATAATAATCATCTTTGCCTTTGGTATAGCCCCTTGTCATGTCATCAAGATGTCTCAAGGCACTTAACAGGAATTTTTTTTAACTGTGGAGAGGAGCGACTGTGTATTTTGTAAACGAATTTCACTCCTTAAAAAAAAGCCTCATTCTGGTAGATTTGAGGCCAAATGTTGTGAATTTGCTTACCTCATAAAGATATATAGCACCTGCCCAGTGGGATCCGAGGCACCTTTGACTCATTACAAATCAGCAGATTTCTAACTTCTTAATGAAAATATAAAATGCAAAAAGGGTGCACGCAGTGTTTTCTGAAAAATAATTGGTAAGAGAGAGGGAGTTAACAGGCTGTACCACAATCTCAGGACTCTAATTTGTACTAACAACTTCCAGCTAGAATTACATGCGTCATCGAAGCCACTAAACTGCCAAAGTTTACAGGATGCAAGGTTGCGCTGACAATTACCTGGTGATAACACAGCACAACATTCTGAAAGAATGCTGGAAAATAAAAGTTTTGTTCTTATTCGGTTACAGGACGTTACAGCTCTAGATTCCAAACACAGCTCTGGGCACATCAGTGAAGCGAGCAGTATAAGGTACCAAACATTAGCCAGAAAACTATGGTATGTAGATGGGACCAAGGCAAATAGATCAAAGTTTGAGCCACAGTTATGTAATAGAATACATATTAGAATACAGATACATCCATGGCTTTGGCTCTAACTTCCTATAAGTTTTCAAAATGTTTACGAACAACTGCAGTGAACACAGGATTAAAGACAATGGATTCATGGCTATCATATGGAATCTATACATTAATTCATAAGAGATTAACACAAGTCTTACATCTCTTTGATTCTGCGCAAATTAATTTGTGCTCCTTTATTCTTCGATTCTTTGACTGTGTTCTAAATTATTATACAGTTTATGACAAAACATTCACTTTGAATAGGATAAGGAAGAATGTTATAATCCTTGTATACTCCTGTGGTGATAGTAGCAACAAACAACAATCATCTATTATTAATAATAACCTCAATTTACATAGTGCTTTCCTTTCTCGGGGAACAAGCTAGTAAGGCAAAATTATTTTGCAAGGTAATTCAGTGATCATGGATGTGTCTGGTATATACAGGCAATTTGGTTTATAGAGACAATTTTTTTTTATTAGGGTTGAATAAACACCATAAAAATATAAATTAACAAACATCGCTTGGGGGATGGGTGGGGGGGGGGGTTAGAATCCACTGAAATTTAATGGAATCTAAAGCTTCATCAGAAATAGTTGCTCACTTCCCACAAGATTCTTATCAAACTTATCTGAAGCACTCAAGTTTTCGATCATACTTCCTTTGTTTCAACAAAATCAAACCCTTATCTACCTTTTTCTCTGTAAATGATGCAGAGCTTATATATATTAACCACTGAAAGGCTTTTCAGTTCTCTCTGACATTAATCTTCCAATGTGAACGAGGCCAGAAGCATCATTGGGAGAACATCATGGAACACAACCCAACCATCTGATCTCATCCTTCCAGAACACCCACTACTGTCCTCCCATTGCAGCACCAGGCTGTTTTTTTTAAGTGAGTCCAGTGTCCGGGCCTCAACCACCCTTCATGCCAACCTGGGTTTTAGTGGTTTAGCCAATGCACTGCCAGAGAAGGGAATTCTTGGAACATTCCTTCCCATCACTCTCCCATTTGCCGTGTGCGAATGGGCTCCTGCTCTCATCTACAAAACACACAGTCACGATAAATCCTGCCAAGCACTTTGGAACGTCCTCCTGACACGAAAGGCAGTGTATCAAATGTAAGGATTATTATTATTATTAGCATCACAAATTTATACATTGTCACCAAAGGGATGGAAGAGTGGCAAGAAATACAACAGGTATAATGAGAAGACAACAGTGTGAGTATACTGAAAGAATTTCTTTATTTCTTTATTGATACCTCTCTTGCAATCATGTGGCTGGAGGGATTTTTGTAATACAGAACCTTATAAAGGGCTTGAGACTTATAAAGGAGGTATCTTATCTTGTACTCCATTGGAGATGGATATAATTATATAGAGTACTCCCTGTGGTTCAGCTATAAAAATGTAACAAGCTACAAAATAACATCAATTTTGCTGGGGAAAGAAGAAATTCACAGCGACTGTTTCTTTTCCAAACGTTATGGAGGACAGAATCGCTGCCCCTGCATTTCTTGTAGGTTAAAGAATTGAAAATGGACGGCAATAATCTATCCACTGATTCAGGCAGGAATTCACAGACATCACTGTTTGTAGGAGTTCAGAGAAGAAAACGTACCCTGAAATTGACACGTAGACTCTTGTGGGATGCTACCAATATAAGTTTCAAGTAGAAGTCTTAACAAATGCCCGTTGATCACTAAATGTCAAAGTATTCTAAGATTCTTTTTCCAGTAAACCTCTAAGTGTTGAGTCTATGGGTTTGGGGTCAGGTACAGGGGCTGAATGACGAAAGGAATCTTCCACCACTGGGCTGCTGCTCTGTCACAGGTAATGACGTAGGCTTATTCTGTTACATCACAAGAGACTGAATCACAGACGAAGTCCATCCTCACTCAGTGGAATAACCCAAAAAGATTTATTTAGAAAAACAAAATGAAAATCTGCCGTTTGACATTTTAATTAAAATCACAGTGATGTGTTTAACGATTGAACCAATTGCTATGATTTCAGTCAATGTAAATCAACTGCAATGAAAGGGTCACTGTATCTTTGAGCAGGAAATCATGTTTGCGATCTGCAGGAATGTGCACTGTTCTGCAGCATGAAGGAAAGACTTCGAACAGCCTTCCAGCAAACATAAGGAATTGCTTTAGTATCAGGTTTCGGGAATTTTTTTTATATACTGGTGTGTGCTACAGTACAAGAACATGCAACAAGCTTTAACCCTCGAAGAACTGTGCCACAAAGTTAAATGTGTTTAACGAAGAAACGCAACAACCCTCTCCAATAGAATTGGTCAGAACGAATATCCCGATATCCCTAAGTGCAATGCATTCCGTGCTGACGAAGGGTCATGGACCTGAAATGTTGATTCACTTTCCTTTCTCCATAGATGCTGCCTGACCTGCTGAGTGTTCCCAGCGACTTCAGTTTATATGTTTTCAGATTTCCAGCATCTGCAGTATTTTGTGTCTTGAAATTTTCCTTGCCATTTGAGATCTGCAGTGAAGCACCAGTTCTCATAACAAACAAAATCAAGCAATCCTGGAAACAAAACACGAGAACAGCAAAATCCCTTGGCCTGTAGACAAGTAAGTGTATTATAGCATGTGAAACATTTACACAGCGCCCCATGTAAATCTCAATCCACTTTATCCTCCATGTAACTCACCTGGTTGGATGAAACGCAGCATCTACGCGTTTCCATAGAGCTACAAAGTGCCTTGTGCAATTAAAATACAAAGCACATTTCTATCACCTGTTGTATAACCAACCCATTTAATTAAAGTTACATTTATTTCTTCCTTAGCACTTTTCCCCCCATGTGCGTCTTGTTGTAAAAAAACATCCTCACCCCATTTTGTTCAATTGCAAAACATATTTTCCCACCCAGCAGATCCCGATATCCCCAAGTACAATACACTCAAGCAAAACCTTCATCCATTGTGTAATATCCAGCAAAGGAACCTTGAACTGGTTGGTACAATAATGGAAGCAGTTGCTATGGTGAGGAGCTGCACTAATATGCCTGACATATGGCTATGATAGTGTGCATAGAATCATACCAGTGTCTATTGCTATACGGCCATGGATTTTATTGACATTGCGTATAGACAGTGTGAAATTAATGAAAGTGGATCTGTTTCAATATTTAACAGAGAGGGGTCATTGACAAACACAAGAAAAATAAAGAGAGGAGAAGGGAGAAAATGGCAAATATTGCAGGCTATTCAAAAGCAAATATTTTTGCATGCACTGAATTTATTGCGGCTGATGTCATTAACGATCCCAGGGTAAAGCAATAAAGTCCCGTGACTGACGGACCACAATGCCACATCTGCTTTTCTTCACTTGAGTTTCTCCCTTTCCAACTGATCGGACTGCAGTCTTGGTCTGACAAACTGCGGTGCTGTTTAACCCTTTTGCGAAAGAAGCAACCTTCACGACTAATACATTCATCATCTCCCATCACATAACCATGGTTATAAGTTGCTAATACAGCATTAAAAACACTAATGATTAAAGCATAAGATATAAGACAACAACAATGAACAATTTTACAGCACCTTTCATGCACGGTAATTTCTCACAGTGCTTCACCAAAGGGAGGCTTTTAAAGACAGCTAGAGTGATGGGTGGGATTTAGGGAGGAATTTCCAGAGTATGGCACTAAGTGGCTGAGGTTTCTGATAGTGGGGTGATGTGATTTTTTTTGCCTGCCAGCAGCAATGGTGAACAGGGATCAAATCCAGGCCCATCCCAGCATTCAATCAAACTGGGGACATTCACACGATTAAACCAAACCAATTCCAGTACACAGGTGAAAGATATTTACTTACTGTTTATTTTGCCTGGAATTATTTCACATCTCTTTGTACAACAGCTACAGAACAGTAGTAAAACCATCTGATAAAAGCAACAGTGCTGATGATAAACATTGGCTGCATTTTATTCCCCCCACCCCACCCCCTCCCCCCAACATCCTACCCCCCCCCCAACCGCAATTATCCCCCACGACTGCATTAACATGCAGCTTGAGATTCAATGCAGAACTCTGGCACACTAACCTGATTAAGACTGAACCAATTAAAAAAAACAGAAGGGAAAAGTGATGAAAGCTACTTCGCGACAAGGTATAAAACAGAAACAAAACAATCTTGGCTTCCATTCCTGGACAAGTTTCATAGAAAACAAAGTACACGTCACAATTAAAAAAAATCTCCCCCGCCCCCTTTGAGGCAACCATGCTACAAAAAATGACGAGTTAAACTTTGCTCGTAATACAACAGAAGGCTCAAATGATGTCAAGGCGACAGAATGAGTGGTTGGCAGGTTGAAGGGGAGGAAAACAAATAATCAATGCTTCGTGAAACGTTAATTGTGGTTGCCATTCGTGGACAGATAAAGGGGAGCTCACTGATTTTTAATTTGACCATTTAATTTTTCTACCAGAATCATGCAAAATCACGCATGCATGACACTATGCACAAATCTTGGGAGGGAAGGGGAAGATAAAGAGGAGGAAGGGAGAGGAATGGATTTAAATAGGACAAAAAGCATTTAAGGAAAAAAAACAAGGAGTTGCTATAAAGAGTTTTTTTTTCTTTTTTTTAATCTTAAAACCGTTGTGCGCAGTTCTCTTCGGAGGGATCTCGCCACAGCTTCCGAGCAAAAAATAAAGGGTTCGGTAAATTGGTCTTTTTGAAAAGAAATGTCTTGTGTTTCCTTCGAAGTCAGAATTTTTACAAGCTTTTTAACTCATCGAAGGCCTGCAAAAAATTGCTCTTATAGTTTTTCTTGTATTTTTGAATCTGGTAAAAGTCACTTGATCCAAGAGGACAGACGACAGCAGTTCATAAAGGCAAATTAAAACCCACTTACAAGAGCACTTTCAGGCTACAAGACAGCCAAAAAAAACATAACTACTTTATACAGTACTATACGCGCGAAAAAAAACAAATAAAAGAATTGCAATCCATAAATAAGAATCAGGTCCCAGACCTGTTGTGTGAACAATTTCTTAAATATGTGTGTTATGTATACCTTATGTACAAAAAAAAGATAAATCATGTTGCATTTCATTGCAAGGGTTCAAGACAGCAAATGTAATGTTATCCATCAAAAAGAGTCGATTTCTTCAGCCAGAGATAAAAGTGGGATCTTCCAAATCGGTTTTTGACATTGGTCCGTTCAAGTAGACGAAGTAAACGAGAGAGAGAGAAAGATATTCTGTTTTACACACGGCATGAACACAAAGGCGATTAATGACCAAAAGAGGTCCCACTGGCTGCCAGCTTGCTGCTCGCTACACACGGCTCATCGTCTGAAATTAAAAAGCGTTAAGAATGAAGCAGGTTCCTCATGAGCCCTGCACTACAAGCCTCTGTCGAAAGGGCCCTGGGCTGGCAACCCCAGCGCTTCCTTGGCCCAAGGTAAAAATGCTGGAAAAAAGATCTTTTCTTCTTCCGCAAAAATAAGGTCGATTTCTCGCTGGCTTTCTCTGGAGCAGCACTTTCACCAGGCCTCTGTGTAACGAACATCCACTTCTTTGAGGTTTGGCAGCTTCGCCTACAGAACATTGGTGGAAGGCATAGCAATTAGTTTCTAATCTGACTTCATGGAACATCTTTTCTGTTTGGACCGCAGTACCAGAATCACGCAAGTCTAAAGTTGGCTACACTGATTCAAATCCATGGGTACTTATCGGAGATGATGACATTAGGATTGGAATTGATGGCTTCTTTGAGCACTTTGGGATGTCCAACTGACTTAAAAGGCACTGCACACATGTAAATTGGGTTGTAATTGTATTCTGGTTTGCCAATCCTAATATGGACTTCTACCGGGACATCTATTCTTCTGTCAAGAAGTCCTGGTTGGAACCTAATGTTACTGGATTTTAACTCGATTTCCTAATTTTTCATCAATCTGTTTCTTTGGGGGGAGTTAACATAACTACTCTTCCTTACCTGCCTTGATGCTTACATTTTAAGACATAGTAATGAAACTCGGTGGAGTTTCAGGTCCCTTGTGTTAATCCTAATGCTGTATGCTCTTCCTGAATTACAATATTTGCAAATTTTGTGCCATAATTTAAGGCTACAGCATTGCGCAGGGCAAACAGTTACCTTGAGATCTTCATATGTATCGACGGACAGTTTGGTACTATTCATGTTCAAGCTGCACAGACTCCTCATGGCTAAAAAGTAAAGAGGAAATTATTCTTATAAGTATTGACAACCAGGAAACACAAATGCAGTGAGTGATACAGTGTTAAAATAGTGGAACCCAAAAATGTCTAGACTTTCAGCCCATCAGATCAGTGCTGTTATTTCCTGTGTGCAGCACAAGAAGTATCGTCAGCAGCAATATAATGAACCTTGGGGGTGAAAATGCAATATTTCACAACAGATGTGATAATTATATGTAGTTTTAATTACTGCTTATCCTCTGAGCCATCCGATTTTCAGATCCTCAAATACACGGCACTCTGCAATTGGGTTCCTGGGATGCTTTGGGGATCACAGAAGCTGATTGAGGAAATTATCTTAGTACAGGTACAGCAGAACAAAAGGGGAAAAGGTTCAAGGATGTGAATTTCAGGAGAGACACCAGGACATTGTTCTTTATCAAACGGATAATTATCGACTGGAACAGGTTGCCAAGTGTTGAGGCCAGGATGCTGGGACTCATTTAAAAAAAAGTTGAATTTTGCGATGGGAAGAATGTAGGGTGGGAGACTGAAAGCTGAGATCAAATGGGTCAAAAGACCCTCTCCATTTCCCACTCCACACCCCTTGATCTTGTAAGGCCCAGTCAAATGGCTGCAGTACTCACAGCTAAGTGCCAGCAATCCAGAGTCCGTGACTGGCGTCTCACACAGGTTCAGAACTTGCAGTGACGTAAGGTGCTCGGAGAGAACCCGTAGCCCAGCATCTCCAAACTGTAAACAAGACATAAAGCTCAGTAAATAAAACCACATCACGGAAACAACTAGGCCACACATCCTGTCAGGATGGTATTAACATTTTCTTTATCTTTCGAATTTCTTTTTCCTCCAACCCATCTTATTCTTAGAAGCGCATCTCAGTCAACAGAGGGCCTGACTCGGGTAACGGAGGAATCCTTTTAATTGTCACAAGTGAAACAAAATGTGTATTCATTTCCTCTGGAAAGATATTCATTGAAAGTGCAACTAAGTTGATGTTTGTCACATCAGACGACATGCAGCTCAAGATGTGTGAAACGGGTAATTTCAATCCCTGGCTGAGACCAGCAAACACTGCAAGGACTGGGGGTTCAAATCAGCAAGTTCCCGGTCTGCAAGTTGCATCTCTATTTCACATCCAAGGGTTATTATTATCATTAGTATTATTAATATTCCACAATTCAGAGCAATCGTGGAATTTCAAGACCAAATGGAAAGGCGCTATATGAATGTAAATTTAGATTGTATTTGACATAGCGCCTTATCACGTCACTGAGACGGAATATACTGTAAAGTGAATTGATTGCGTATTTTGTGGGTGAAACGTGGCAGCCAATTGCGCCCAGCGGTGGAATTCCAGGCCTCTTTGTGTCAATGCCAGTAAATCATGCCAAACTGATATCAAAAAGATGTTACACAACTATCTATTTTATCGTTACTCATGTGGTCGGTCGCTCAACCTCTGTGTTCCTCTGACCGATAGCGTTTCAGCAGAATAAGGCTGTGCATGTTTCCGTGTATGTGTGTCACAAGTCATTCATTATCACACGTTGCAACACTGTGGGTTACATTATGAGCAGGAAGTGGGCAGGTGACTTGCTCCAATGTCCCCCTCTTTAACCACTACCTAGAAGTATGGGTGCACTTTGGTAGACTCCGCACTTCCCAGTGGATACAGTTGTTTTTGAAACAAAGTGCATTGTGGTGAAAAATTAGTTGTTGCAGTTCCTTTTTTGAATAATTCAATTGATCCAGCTTTAGCAATAACAAAAACAACTTGCACTTATATAGCATGCTTTATGTAGGATAAGGTCCCAGAGCTCTTCACGAAGATGGGGTCGGAGACCGAACAAGGGAGAAAGGGGAAATAGCAGGTGACTATAAGCGTGGTCCAAGAGGTAGATTTCAAGGCAGGATGTAAAGGAAGAAGAGAAAAGCGAAGCGATGTGGAGGAGAGGAAGAGAATTCCGCATTCAAACAAGACTAACGAAGGACAGGACTAGAAAAGACCATTGGCAGGTAGGAATGAGGAGCTGCTTACCTGGGTGGACCACAAGTTTAACTGTTTGAGGGACGGCAGCTTGATTAACTGTTCTGCACAGGCACTGGTGACGTTGGTGAAGGCCAGGCTGAGATTTTCCAGGTTTCCAAATGACCCAGAGCTCAGTAATCTGGCCAGGTCTGCGTCCTGAAATTCACAAAGAACATAGCGCATAAACACACAACTTACTTACACCGAGCTTGCCCAAAAGGATCAAAGATGCAGATTTTATATCAAAGGTTACATTAACTTAATTCCCAACTGCACTGTAACACACAATCTGCAATGTTATCCTGATTTGCTTTAATAATTAACTAAAACATTTTTAGATTCTCTCAGTAGTTTAGTAGCTCAGTTGCTAAAGACTTTGCAGTCTGGCATTCACGAATGGGAAGTTGTAATTAATGCAAAGAATCCAGTTTGTGAATATTGCAAAATGGGCCTGCCAAATCAAAAGTACGGGGTAAAATCTGCAACTTTTCATCAAATACATTCAACTTGATCTCAACAAATGCAAATACACCAACAAATGCACAGTCAATGCACTTGGCAGAGAAGGCTATGGAGTTCTTTGAGACGTTTTCAAAGTGACAAGGCGCCGTATCAAATGAAAGGATTTTTAATTGTAATGAAACGCCAGAGATTTCACCTCCGCATTGTATAATATCTGGGCTTAGAGCTCAACGCATAAGATCTCCCATCCCCATCGTCTTACCATCTCAAAGGCTAGCTTTTCAATAAGCGTTTGGGAGATCAAGCTGAGCAACAAGACAAAAAAAAGTTACGGTAATTGCCAATGAAATTATCAGGTGGTTGACAGACAGTTACCAGTTGAGACAACAATAGTTTCTGAGAGGAAGTTAACCCTCGGTGACTTGCAGTAATACTAAATCTGAAACTAGTTAACTGCAGATAATTATCTAGTCTTGGTAATTACAGAGGTGACACATACAGAACTCTGCTGTTTGTGGGGATGATTTATTGCCCGCAAGTTTCAGTAATGACAATGAATTTAGGGTTAGAAGATGGTGAAGGCAGAAGGGCTGGTGTTTATCATAAACCTTCAGACTGGAGTTGCCGTCTAGAGTCGGGAACAAAGGACCAGATTGAAAATGTGGAGATTGTAGAGAAGTTCAAATTAAGCAAGCAGGCGTAGACTCAACCAGACATAGGATGTCTGTGTTTCTTTTTGACAATACAGAAGTGACACGACTCACTCCTAATAATAATAACCCTTGCATTTGGATACAGCGACTTATCACAGCTCAAAGCGCTTCATAGGATCTACTGTGAAGTGTCGTGACAATATATTTTGTAGGCAAACGTGGCAGCCAATTTGCACACAGCAAATTCCCACTGACTTTATTGGGGGGGTGGGAGGAGAGGGAATTGTTGGCCAAGACACCAACTCTTCCTTCTTTTTTAAAAAGATAACAATAGCAGTATAAGGAGACTGGAGACAGAGACAGGCAAGTATCGAAAATTTTCAGGTTAATATCCAACTCACCGTGGATTTCGAGGGTAGTGTTAGGCGAGTGGGTCCACCCTTCCTTTGCTGCATTAAAGTACACAAAACATTTGAATTAATTTGTGGATTCATGTGTTGTTTCTCAGAAACAAAACTTAACTCTACAGCCATTGTTACAGATGATAATTATCACATTCAAATGTCTTAATAAACTTCAACGATTACACTCTAATTTCCTCCTGAAACTGAAACCCAATTTGCACTTGTCGGCTTAAAAATGTTTTTTGTAGCTGTGCCTTCGGGTGAATCAGCGCTGGGGAACGAAAGTTTCCAGCAAACAATCTCTCTTTCTCTCGTTCCCCAACAGTGCAGGTTCCACTCACCCTTTGAAGGGTACTATTGATCAAGTCTAACATTTCCCCTTCTCATGAGTCACCCGAGCGGACTATTTGCTGGGAATTTGATGTTTGAGGGAGGAAGTAAATCGAACAATTCAATGCAAGACAAGCTCATAGTTTCCCTTCACTGAGCAATGGCAGCCAATCCTGAATCCCTAGGTTTGTCCAATGCACTGGACTGGGATTGTACAAAATAAGGAAATAAGGAACGTACCAGCTCTTTTAACTCCCTTTGTCTGTCACAGAGCTGTTCATACATTTTCTTTCCAACGTCTGTGCTCTCCAAGGTGGAGATGATCTGAAGCTGTGTGTCCTTGTTGTCTATGATGTTGTACTCGAGCATCAAGCACAGGATCTAGAAGTTAAGGAGGAGGGAAGGTATGTTGTGTGTCAAAAAAGTAACATCTCATCGACAACTGCGGATTAGCAGAGCATCTCCAAACATCTGAAATCCCCTATTCATCATAATGCTTGCATAGTTAATTAAAACAGAACAAGTGCCCTTCACTGAGCCCACTTAAGACATCCTGGAGATATCCTCTGCTTCTCCTGAAGCCCGAAATTCCTTACGTGTCGAAGAACACATTCAATGCAATTGTTCAAGATCTGCGAGCGGAAAGACGGCTTCTGAATTAAGACAGACTTTAAGGGATTTCCAAGGTTCTGAGCCATCTGAAATTTCACGCAATTTAAGACAGGGTGGAATTTTGGGCCAGTGGTTTCCAGACTTCCAGATGTAGGCAGTCAAAGTTAATACTAGGAAATCTCATGGCCCAACAGAGGAAATCATCCCCAATGTCTTTCAACCCCCAATTGGTGAGGCTTCAATCCCCCCCTCACCCCTTCCCAGTATTGACATCCGCTGAGTCTTAAAGTACAGACGTTAAAGGCTTACGAACGGCCATATCTTTTAAATTTGATTTATTTTCTGTTGTTGGAAGTTTGAGGAATGCAACCAGGAAATTAGTGATTGATTCCCTGTGAAGCACAGGAGGGAATGGTCAGCATCACATACCAGCATAGAACTGGAAACGCGATGTCACAATAACCTCCAAATCCCTTTCTTCCACATCATTCACAGTTACCAACAGCTACTTACAAATGCTAAAACCCTCGCTTGATATAAGCTGAGCTACCCACATAGACTTTACAACGAGGAAGTGATAGTACATGATTATTGTAAGAGTAACCACTAATATATGCCTGCCTTAAACATGACACGGTCAGGAATTTCCAATGATAATTCCATTTGAATGTGGACAAGGAGGTCTTTAGGTGTGTTTAACATTGGATTACCATTAACCAGACAAATGTAGTGNTTTTTTTTGTCTCCCCAAACTTGTTTCTTGCGCAGGGTGCAAAAGCAAATCCTGTCGGGCTAAACTCAGTCCTTCCAGACTCGGCTGAGATTCAATCTCACAATTTATGAATCTGAACACAGAACTTCAATAGAATTACAAAGATTGACCCCGTACAGTCCCATCAGAACAGTTTGGAAGACTTCTAAATAAAAATAATAAATAGTTTGGGAATGCAAGATTTGATTTCTCCCTCTGCAACTACTGACAATCACACATAAAGCAGGCATCCGTTACGTTGATATTATGAATCGTGCATGGCCTTACTTCAACCATCGTCTGATTTCCTCTGAGTGCCAGCAGCATACACGGTCCCAGTTTGTTCTCAGCCAGTGACAGCAGGAACTTTTTCGTCTTGTAGCAAGAACCCATTAAGATGTGCACCTGAGGAGAAAGAGAATGATATGCAACTTCAGTCAGTGGTGAACCCTGCAGTAAGACACACTACGTTGATACTTTTCTGATCTCTGTACAGATAAGAATCAAAATAATAATAATCCTTGCATTTGATATATATAGCCCCTTATCATGTTTCTCATGTGTATTAGTTATTGCTCCATTGGTGGCCAACAGGTTCCCCAGGTCGGGGAACAAAGCAAGAAAAAACACACACACTAGTTAAAAAAATATACATTAATATAAAAAACAAATGCTAAAGGAAATGAAAGCATTTTAAACGAGCCCTACTGCTCCTGCCCAATAAGACATGCACGTACAGGCTAAAGCTAATGCAGAACGGTGCAGAGGTTTCAAAGGGAGTTGATGGGGTTCTTCCTGGGCGGGTGGGATTGAGACGCAGACAATATTATCTGGCTACGTTTTTCACCTGCCCTAATACTGACCTCCTCCCGGAGTCTGACAGAGATGCCTGTGCAAGTTCACTCGGTCCTTCCTGCCGATTATGGTTCACAGCTTTCAAGTGGTTCAACTAAAGTTCAAGCGTGAGTGACAGTACGAGTGAGGAGAGCTAGAGCAGGGGCGAGTGAGGACATAAACAGTGCCTCTATTTATCCTCGCAGCGCAGTTCCCTCCAGCTCCTGTTTACACTATAGCTGCACATTTGCGTTAGTTTAGTGTGGATTTCCACATGATGTGCTCCAAAGAGCAAAGTACAAGCACTACAGAGGCGTGCACCATTATCTCAGTGATATCCCTCTGAAATCTGTACCAGGCTGGTAACATAGCTACATGTCAGCACATGTGTGAATCAATAAGTCGACACCTCTTGGTACCTAAACTGACTGACAGCGGCATTTCTTCTTATAAGCCCTGTGACATAGTCATTGAACTTCAGATGTTCTGACCCAAACTCAATGTGATCTGTATGGAGATTAGGCTGCTCAGTGGGCTGCTGCTACGACTGATTTAAACACAGCTTCGCTCCCGTCCTCCCAGGTCAATCTCCAGTCACGGCATCTTGAAGGGAAGGAGGGAGGAGTGGGGGACCTCCCTTGGTGGGAGGCAAGGATAAGGCGCTGCTGTCTAAACTTCGTGCCTGGCTCTGCTCTGAACTCCTTCATGAGATGGAGACGAGGTAAACAAAATGTCTTGATCAATGAGGATTAAGTTCTGTTGCTGCAGAAAGCTACACTTCAAGTGGCTGATTTAGAAACTAAAATACTTCAAATTCAACGCACAGAGGGAGCAACGTCAATAAAACAACCATTTCTGCTCAGCACAGGGAGTAACTAAAGGCAACACGAGTGCTTTGAAAGAAAGTTTTCATCTATGTTTTTTTCAACGGGCGATACGCAAGCTCTGGTTACTACAGCTTGGATGATTTGGGAGTCACTTTACTGCATACAAATAAAAAAAACGAAAGGTACACACAGAGGTTTCAACCTCGTTTAAACCGACGGAAGTAATGACCAACTGGTGTTTAATTGCAACATAAACAGAAGGTATTAACTCACATTATTGCAAACACGTACCATACTGGCAAAAAGCTCCCCATCATCATCGCACGCTACTCCTCCAGGACTGTACAGCTGGAACCAGCCATCCTTGCCTGCCCGAACACTCAACAAACACGAATGGACCTGTCAGGATTCAGTTAATCAATGTCAGTGTCTGGGCTGACAAGCTGGTGCCTGTGTTTAACATGGCCACAAGAACCCATGTTAATCTGGTACAGGTTGACCGTTTATGTCGGAAAACCATTTGCTCTTTGAATTTCAGATCAATTTTGTGTTTTTGCTATCAACCAACCAGTCATTTCTGGCCTCTTGGCCTGACTAAAACCTGGGGACCTGACTAAAACCTGTGGATCTGACAGCAAACAAACGAGTGTATCAAGGTGCAAATGACTTTTCTTTTCACAAACACTGATCAGGGCAAAATAATTAGAGAAATTAAACGAGGTCGTGATGAACTCGATATTCCTTCCACCAAGCCTCCGTTCTAGGACCACCAAATGTTAAATCTTTCTGTGCTGAAGTGCGATCTCAAGAATGCTGTTCGTTTTTATATCTAGCACTCTGTCAAAGACTCGTCTTCAGGGTCAGTCTGCCAGGACGCAAGGTTGTGTGTCAAGGATGATTTGTAACTGTGGTATTGTCACAGTTTTATCCAACAGCATGTATTAACCATTTTTCTGAACCTGTTTCCCCCCCTGCCACCCATCTCAACACTTCCACACTATTGTCTAATAGAAGGAAGGATCTCATAAAAAGAGTGTTTTATATGTCCTTCCATCAGTGTGGGAAATTATAAACATGAATTACAGCAGAGATGGTAATAGATCAGAAAACGAACTAAAGGGCGAATTGCTATTTGCATATTAAAAAAAACTATGATTGTCATTTGATTTGATATTTGAATGGAGATTTTTGTGATTTCACTCACCTCTTGTCTTGGGTCTTCTGCAAATCTCTGTATGACATACTTCAATTCCCTGAGAAAGAAGCATAAGTAGATTAGGACCACATTCATTTCTGTGTCTTCAAATTGTACACGTACACGTTGAAGGGCAGAATAATGTAACAACGATTTGTCAGATAATGGGAACTCTGTTAGAGGGAACGTTTCAGGGGGCTGGAGTGTCCCTGCTTGGCAAAGTAAATGTTAAATACAAAAGAGACATTGGACAAAGTAAAACAATCAGAAATATATGACATATGGGCTTCATACGAACAGGTTTGTTAACCTGGAGAAGCCAGAATATATATTTAAAAAATGACCCTTGGCACTATTTACCTCACAGTGTTAATACAGCAAAAGGAAATTAAAGAGGAATGTACATTTATCAAGTTGGTTTCAAAACTGAACTTGCACCAGTGAATTATCAGGCTTCACAAAAAAAGTTACAAGAAAGATCTTTTAGATGTCTGAGAAACGTCACTTACTTTGTGAACTTCACGTGTGCGAGTGCCCTGTTGGAAAGAAATATTCAAGTGTGATTATTCGTAAAGTAATAATGTCACTACTCTCTGGTTTTGCTACCTTTCAAACTGTTGGGGGTGAAATTTGGGGTATTTCATGATGGGAGTCCATGAGAGAACTCAAAATAGGAGAGGGCAATAAGAAGCCGTGGAATAGAAACAACATCACAGACTAGTTGGGCTGAATGTCTCGTTTCTGTGACGCATCACTCTATGCAACAATAACAACGCTGCCAAATTTCACCTCCAAATGCAGCATTTAAACAGAACATCATAAACTGCAGTCAGACAATGCATTGGAAACTACTTGGTTTTGGTCAGCAGGGTGTCGGACACATGCAGAAACCAATCACTAAGCTCAAGAGTATCCAAGCTACTACAGTGTTTATACTCCACACGAGTCTCCACCCATTCCTTTATTCCCTCCCATACCCTTCTATTCCTCAAACCCTGTGTTGTAACTCTTGATATGGCAGGGAATTCCTGCGCTTCGAACATCAATGAGAACACAATGAGTGGCGCACTGCAGGCTTTGATGTACTTACTCTTTGGGGAAGGGAATGGGCTGAAGCAGGCTGGCAAGAGCGGGTCTCCAGTCATCGTAATCTGACCTGTGGGACACAAACAAACCCAAACTACTTGTTACCGAGCTGCGTATATTTTCCCTGATCTGCAATTCCATGATTTCTACAGAAAACTCAGGATATGACGTTACATCGCGCAAGGGAGTGCAAATAATGACCAGCGTCTTTTCTAAGGGAAATCAATTCTGTCACAAAGCTCATCACTCTCTGGGTTTCATGTGGTGCTATTTTCAGACATCACAAAAGGAGGATGGGATGAACAAGCGCATCGGAGCTGGTCAGGACATTGGGGTTGGTTACAGTTATTGGGTTACAGTCAGTAGGAGTGAATTTTTCACTGTTGAATGCGATTGATTCACACAAATTCAACATAAACCAAGTGATTCATCCACGTCAGCTATAAGGTAATGACAGACTGCTGCAACCATGGTGCTTGCACTAACTTAAAGGCAATGTTTCTGACTCGAAAACATCATTATTCTCCCCAGTGAGAGTAAATTCTGGGTATTATTTCCATTTGTGTGAAAAAACCATGATTCCCTCCATTGCTGGTAACTAATAACCTTTCATTATTTGTGACAATACACCAGGACGCGATTATTCTTGGCCAGAAATCCTAGCTAGACACACACATAACAATCACAATGGATGGACTTTTAGTCTGAAGGCAGAATACACAGGCTAACTGACGATGGAATTTCGGAGGGGCAGGTTCGAAATGGACCATTTGCAGTTGTTGCCTACTTACAGCATTTTGAGAATTTCCACGTAACAGCCGAGAACTCGCTCAGCCTGTGGGCTCAGTTCAATGACCATGGTGCTGCATGTGGGGCTGACTAGCAAACAGTCGATCAGGCTGGGCTCACTGTCGCTATTGTTACCGCTACTGCTGCTGCTGTTATTGCTTTTGCTGCTGTTGTTGCTGCTGCTGTTATTGCTGCCACTGCTCGTGCTCCCTTTCAGTTTCTGATTAACCAGGCTGCTGCGTTCCAATTCCACGTGGATCTCGGTTGAGTTCACAATGATGGATTTCATCCTGGTGTCGGAGTTGACCTCCTGCGACACCAGGTCAGGGCTGGAGTGCAGAAGCCGCAGTGGCAGGTTGGGCTTGCGATCACACTGCTGCTGACAGCCATTGCGTATTTCCTTTAGGCTGGGCGAGTTGTCTCGACTACAGGAGAACACAAAGGTATTGATTGATACGCACTGTTAGGTTAAAACTGAAAGGCGAAACTCTACAGGGCAATCGTTAATGAAGAAATTCTCACCCCTCGCTATCTCTGTGACCTCCTGCAACCCTTCCATCCCAGCCACTCCCTCCTCTCTGAAAACCGGCCTGCTCCACTTTCTCCCCCGCTATCAAGTAAGCAAGTTTTTAGCCATTCTGACCCGTTCTCTGAAATCCCATTGCGGGTACTCGTACAAACCTGTTAATGAACTCCTCGTAGCAAGAATAAATTGCAGCTAAGCAGACAGCGACAAGGTTGGGCAGGACTCTTGGGTGGGGGCACTGTCCAGTTGGGCCGTGCATACTGCAACAAATAAGACAAGCCAGTTACAAACACGGAAATAAGATACGCATTAGTTGCAGTCTTCCAAAGTCATGCAAACTAAATCAACGTCAAACTGAAGTTAGACTAAAACTAGCCTTCAGCATTTGCAATGCCCTTTTATTCCCAGTGTCCTGTGAACTTTAAATTCACAGGACACTGGGAATAAAAGGGCATTGACCAAACACTTTTAGTTGTTTACTTGAGGTGCAAATGTTTCGCTCACAAAATATACAGTCAATTCACTTTACAGTATATTCTGTGAGGCGTTTCGAAGACATGATAAGGCGCTATATCAAATGACAAAGATGATTATTAATTACATTGTACTGGCCTTCGCTGTTCATCTACTGGATATTCAGGACAATCAAACAAATGGCCAGCAATAAAATTCATGACATTAATGAGTTAATGTAGAATTGTAGAGACCTGTGAATGAATTTCTTCACCACCTCCATTCCGGCGTTGAGCTCATTCAAGGCAAGGATGTACTCCTGTGTAAAAAGTCTCAACCGGGGACACTTGCCAAAATCCTGACGGAAGGAGAACAAAGCTTTAGTGATAGTTCAATTACCTATTAATCAAACCAATAGCAACTTTGAAATGCTCTCTTGTCAGAGCGACTAATAGAACCTCAAATCTGATGAACTGGAAGGCAACCGGAGCGGTTAGATCAATGTAAGAGGGAGCCGAAAGCCTCAATACTGTACCAGAGGAGGCCATATACTGAAATTTATGTAGGTCATGTATGTAGAAACACAAGACTGTAAGACCATCGCAACTATGGTGAGCATACGATCAACACACCTTGGCAGAACTCAAGAATAAATCCATTGGTGACTATTCCTTGTCCTTAAACCATCCAGTTATCAAAATGTGTAACACATAGTCCACTGTATAACTAATTAAGTGTCAATCTCCATAATCTTGGGGCAACAGGTATGCTTTCACTGCCGTTCATCTTGGGAGCAATTACTGAGATAACATCTAGAAGAACACAAGTGGCTCAGGGCTGCCTAAAAGGCAGGTTTTGTGTCCATTGATGTGTGGCTCTGTAAAGCTACAGCCAGTTCAATACAACTCCAGCAACTCGTAGCACCGAAGCACTGACAAGGTGTACATTTGGAAACAAACAAATTCTCTAGCGTCCGGATAAGATCAACATTGCATTTGACTCAAGGGAATGGTATGGTAAAATGAAAAGACGATTTATAAAACTGTGCAAAAAGGAAAATCCTAAGGGTACGTATTTGAGTACCTCAGTTAGAGTACAATAGTAGGCTAAGGTCTATAAAATGTGACTAAAGAAAGGAACTTTCAATAAATGAAAATGGACTTCACTTCTTTTCACAGTGCAAGGCCAATCGCGGTGTACAGCATGATTGAACGAACAACCCGCTCCACTCAAAACTATCTAACGATGTAGGTAAACTTGAGTTTATTCCATCTCAGCCCTTTTGCTAAAAGTCCCTGCCTTGGCTGTTCACTGTATGTTAATCTACGCGCCTTCAAAACTGCGAGGAGTTAACCTAAAGCTGGACACGACATAACCTGCCTGAACCAACATGCATTAACCACAGAAGTATTTTTGCAGTAAAACAAAACTGAAGCCTTCCTTCAGTTGTTAATATTTAATGATTGCCTCCCTAATTGCTCTGAAGTTTTACCAGATTGCAGTCATTGACGACCATCAATCAAATCAGTGAGCCGGAAAGAGTTTTACAAGTTAACCATTTCAATATCAGGAGAATTTGTTCAGTCAACAGTTAGGTCTGCCTTCTGCTAATGTTTCTTGGACTACGGTCTCCGAATTAATGACTCCTGCACTGATTTCTCTGTTGTGTTAATTCCTTTGCCGTAATTATAGCAATCGCATTAGCGAATGTGACGCAGAAAAAAAACCGGACGTATTTCAGTTTCTTGTTTCAACATGTCTCTTCACTCAGTTTGTTCCTGAGCTAAACCCTAAGAGCGGATCCAGTTCAAAATCATTTGTCATATATTTGATCATTCATTACTTCACAGAAATTGTTTATGGCTGCTAAGGAGCAACTTCAATTGTGCAACAATTTGTACCCATAACTCACACGATATTGCAGGATACCCGGTAATCAGGATGAAAGTTTTTAAATCAAGAGAAATGTCACCACTTCAAGACCAAAGCACTAGAGGGTGCAGTTTGGAGCACAGCGGCAGGAACCACGACCTGCACTGCTAATCCCAAAGCAGGAACAAAAGTATTAAGAAGGAAATCTGTGAACCAGACCAGTATATTGTCGCTATCGCATATCTGAGACTTTTACTAGGAATTAATCATAATTGTGAGCTGACAACGCAGACCATACAATTTTAAATGTAACCGTTCGCTGGCCTTTTGACAACTAGAGTTTTTCCAATGGAATTGCGAACAATACGTCAAGTTAGCCTTTTATTAATAAGAGATCTGGAGAATTCTCATTGCAATTAAAAGATAGAGTTTCTGTCAAACTGAAAAATCCCTCCCATTGATTGATCTTCATGATTTCCATCATAGACAACATTCCCCCAAACTCAAAACATATACCTTCGTTGAGAGTCTAGGCTGACACTCCAATTCAATGCTGGGGGGAGTGTTGCATTTGCTGGAGGTGTCATCCTTCGAATTAAATGTTAAACCTTGTGCAACAATTTGTCAAGGTCCCGTCTGCCTATTGAGGTAAACATTAAAGGTCTTGCCGACCTGCCTAAAGAAAAAGGAGTTTCTCCTGGCATCCTGGGTAACAATCCCCTTGATCTAATTAAATTCATCATTCACTTCATGGCTGTTTGTTTATGTGGAACATTTGCTGTGTGCAATTTGTCTTTATTCCCCTACAAATTCACTGTACCTACACTTTACAGTAAACCCTGTGAAGCACTTTTGCAGATTTGCACTTTGTACTTTTGCCACATCAACTGCAAGGATACATTATTATGAACACTGTGGGACTTGACACTGGGAACAATGCTGTACTATAGGGAGATCCCAGTATCCCTCGAATTATCACTGACCTACACCATGTCTGGCCTAAGAATATCTACTAATGTTATTATAAACCGAGAGGCAGGATTCTATTCTCTAGCTGTAGTGAGGATTTGGAGCTTTGAAGTTTTGGTCAGTTACCAATGTGTCTGTTCATTTTCCAGGTTCAGTTCAGCGGGATTGCTGCCAGCAGCAAACTCCATCTCAGTAACTTTAAACACTAACAGCCGTGATTCGGTTTCCCACTAGGTACAATCTTTACTCCCACAAGACCACAATTTTAACTCCCATTTGCCAATGATTTCATTCTCCCAAATGGCTACATCTTTGAAGCTCTGTTGAACTACACATTGCAAGCTGGGACCTTGCTCTCATACCTGAGTTTTGCACACAGTTGTTTCAATCTTACCTCCTGGTGTCTACAAGTCTCATAGACACAGGAGGTCCTGGTACTCTCATTCACAACAGTATTAATAATATTTCTCAAACCAAAACAGAGCAATATTTCCCTTGCAAAAATATTTTACCAAGAGAGTGCATTTAGAGGAATAATTACTACATGCATTAACAACATCTAGTGATGTTTCTGCAACTAACTTGTATGTTTGCATGGGTCACATTTATATGCATTCCGCTCACTCTATTGGCCTGATCTACCACCATTAGAAAGTTTACAAGTGATGTCCCACCAGCGATGTATCTGAGAGTTTAAGGCCCCCTTTACGTGTGGGATGAAGCAACATCACTTCTGACATTTACTGAATTGAAATGGGAAATGGGAAGCTAAAATTTCAGAATTACAGCACAGAAAGAGGCCAAGCAGCCCATCAAGCCCATTCTGGTGCTAGTTCCTCTACCATGAGCCAACTCTGATCCCAATAACTGCACTTAGTGGGGCTGGAGACAAACAAAGCACATGATTGTAACACTGCTAACCATAGCCGGACTCGAGATTAATTTTATAATCCCCAAGATTATAACCTTTTGGACAAATAGCATAATTCGCATACTAGATACACATTCACATATCTCTGGCAGCTTGAAGAGATGATAAGAGCCATTCTATTGAATAAACAGAAGACAAATGTAAAACAGGTGCCAGTCTTCGCAGGCAGATTCACAGTGTCTGCTTCCAATTAACTTTCCACTTTATGATGGTTTAGGTTGAACAGACGAGTTACATCTCAACCACAAATGGCTGTTGACGGCACTTTTAAAACAGCCTTATATTTGTGTTTCTATATACACGCAAAAGGAAAGAAAGCTTTTTGGGGGACATGGTCAATCTATTTTTGGGTCAGCAGTACTCTTGAGACTCTGGTACTGATTGTTTTAGAGGTAGTTGAAATAAATCAAGATTCTCGGGACGTAATTGCTGTGAAGCATTTATTTATAAGTCGCATGCATTTCTACTTTGCTCTGCACATGGAAATATACTAGATCTATTTTACAGAGGCCAAAAAAAAACAAGCATAAGTTTTAGAATCAGAAATTATAACACTGGTTCGTCAGCCTATCAAAGTGTCACCTCCTCTCCTCTAATCCCAATTCCCTGCTCTTTGCCCGTACCCTTTTATGTTGTATCTCTTTAAAGCTAGGTGTCAGCCTGGCTCAGTTGGTAGCCCTCTTGCTCCCAAACTCTTGCCTTCACATTTGTGGGTTCAAGCCCCACATTGGGACCTTGAACTCGTATAGTCTGTGCTGACACCAATGCAGTGTTAAGACACGTGCTGCACTGTCCTTCAGATGAGACCTTAAACCTAGGTCCTGCCTGTGCTAGTTCAGGTGTCTGTTGAAGATCTCATGGCACTATACAAAAAGAGGAGCAAGTTTCTCCCAGTGTGCTGGTCAATGAGACCACTCTCAGATAAAATTGGTCATTGATTTTTGTGGAACACTGCTATGTGCAAATTGGCTGCCGCATACAAGTATACAAAGCCTACAACGTATAAAGTCACTACACTTTACAGTATATCCTGTGAAATGCTTTGAAACTTTCTCCTGACATGAAAGGCGCCATTTCAAAAGCCAAGGATTATTACTGTTAAATACCAATCCAATTGCTCTTTTATTATTAGCTCATGCAATTCACTGTCCATGGACAACAGCTTCTCTTGAAACAACAGGGGAGTTTATAACTAAAATAAAGTTCATGGCACCTTCTAGACTCGTTTGTGCAGAGATATTATTTGGTTGGGAGGAGGTCAGATGTCAGCTCAATGGCATTTAGACAGTAATAAATCCAACTTGCACAAATGCCATTGGCTAGTGAATCTGTATGGGGACAGCTAATCTCTTACTGTATCTCTGTCTATTAATACACCATGGGCATGTTCAGTCTAAAGGGCCTTGGCAGACGTTATAAGGCAGAAAAAGGAAAACGGTACAAATAAAATTGCAAAGCATAAGCAGAGACCATAAATTCTTTTGAAGGGGAATTAGATAGATGCTTGAAAAGGATATGAAAGGTTGAGAGGAAGAGAATGGGCCTGGAGAAGAGACTGTGATTAGATTGGACGGCTCATGTGGAGGAAACTCCAGCACAGACCTGATGGGCTGAAAGAACCTTTTTCACTGGTGTAACATTCTATGACTACCTGGGCAAAAAGGTCTTGATATTTTGCTGCATACCTCAAAAACATCAGCAAGTTTATCATCAATTAAAATCTCAGCTCAAACAAAAGCAAACTTTTTATTGTGGTGGAGGAGGGTGAGGGAAAGAGGATGTGGGAGGAAGATTCATATCTCTGGAAATTTACCTGAACTTTTAATGTGATTATTTTCTTCTAAACACTCCCAACTATGAGTTACCTTTGGAGGAAGTCGTATTAGTGATAGTTTGACTAAGTAAAAAAAATCTCAACATTCTGTTTCTCAGGTTCATTTGTGTTGTGCTTTAGATTTTTTGGGGGGTTGAGTAGGAGTTTAAAATCTACACTGCGCAAACGTATGTCAATAAGTGTGCATGTGTCAACGGGTCAGAACTTCATATCCTACGATTACATGCAGATGGTAAGTGTGATAGTGGGATTGTGAGTCAGGGATGATTTGCTTTATAAAATACCACTAGTGCAAACAAATCAAAGTGTTTTTTGATAGGGACTGAATGGGACTCGGGTGGAGGTACGACTTAAGCGAGCTTTATTGCAGTCTTAAAATGCAGTGGCGATGAACTGCTTTGAAAAGTTGAAATAAAGATGTGAAAATCCAAGTGATGAGTGAACGGCAACAGAGATCGGCTGGAGAGCGAGTTGACCTTGAACTCTCGCTCTTCCAGCCCTCCCCCAGTCTGGCAGCCCGGGCCAAGACGCAATTCTGCACACATCAGTGCTTAATCGTATTACAGTGAAAGCAATCTCAACATTTCCTTCCTTTATGGTAGCTCATGTTTTACGAGTCTGCAGACTGCTTTCACATCAAGACCAGAATTTTCCTATGCTACAGCCTGTTCCTTTTCTCAGCCTGGTTTCTAAGTGTGATTTCATATTCATGTTCCAACTCTACCATCTCACACCCCAGCTCTCTAGAACTGTATCCTGGAGTTCCTCTGTCTCATCCCTTCTCTCCCCATCTTTAAAGCCTACCTCAAAACCCATCTATTCAATCGTACTTCTGGTGACCTCTCCCTCCCAGCACCAGCTGTGTAAAAGCCCTTTGAGATGTCCTCCCCCAACATGAAAGGCTCTATATCAAATGCAAGGATTATTATTAATATTAAGTCTATTCATGTTAGCTTTGTACCACAGGGAGCTGTAGAGTTGATTCACACAGATACAGAATAAAGCTGCTTCTGCATTGCCATGACATTATGCCTTAATCCCACCCTTAGGAAAATGCCCCTGACCTCTCTGTGAGTAAGTCTGCCAGATTCCTAATGATTTACTGTTTAGAATTCTGTGTTCCAAAATTAAAACTTTTTTTTCGGCGGGTCTGTTTTTCCCCAAACGAGACCTTGTGACCCTTTGTCATTCCGTTGTTGTTTTCTGAAGTAAATTGTGCCAAAGTCTCAAAATGTCTGCCATTCCCTGCACAAACAGGCAAACAAAAGTGGAGCTGCACTGCATGTACACAGTTAACTGCAGGATTTTCCAAATTCTACAACTCAAGTGTCCTGTGGTCGAAATCCTACTTAACATACATAAAACGGCAAATGAAATCCTTCTATTTTTACAAATGTCCATTTTTTCTCCCCCCGATGCCAAAACAAATGAGAGAAGGATTCCATCAGAGTATTTTGCACTGAGCCGGTTGCCAAACTGTGAACCAAAAGCAACTAAATGTATTCGCTGGGCTGCAAACGCTGCCAACTACAACAAAAACAATTGGGAAATGAAATCTTTGGCTTCTTGAGCTTTACACCAGTCTGTCTCCACCAGTAACACAAGTCCCACAAATCAACAAACTCACCCCTTCTCCAGTACTATTTCCTTTGTTAACAGTGATATATAAGTGATTTAAGCAACCCTTCTTCACAGTGATTTCAGGCAAGCGTAAACCTAGGCAAGTGTAAACTACAGCGATAATAATAATAATAATCCTTGCATTTGATATAGCGCTTTTCACGTCGGGAGGACGTCCCAAAGCGCTTCACAGAACACACTGTAAAGTGAATTGACTGTATATTTTTTGTGGGCGAACGCAGCAGCGAATTGTGCACAGCAATGTCCCACAAACAGTCGTAGATTGAAAATGACCAATTTATTATTGTTTTTGGTTTTGGAGGGATTATTATTAGGTGTGTGGAGTAAGGAAACTTGCCCAAGGTTTCGCTCTGACCTGCCTGGAATTGAACTCAGGTCTCTCGCTTGCAAAGCGAGTGCTCTAACCACTGAGCGACAGGACTCCACGATAAACAATCACATTTCGCATTGTCAACTTTCTTCTCCCCTCTCCCTTTCTCCCCGTTCACCTTCATATTGTTCTTCCACTTTCACACAAGATAGACAAAATCAGAAGCGAGGACGTCAGTTGCAAGTAAACAGCTATCAGCAATAACAGGAGTTCAACTTTCTAAATAATTTCATTCAAAAAGACACAGAGGATCAAAGAGTCTTTCTGAATCTGTACAATATTTTGCTGAGGGTTGTGAAAAAAAGTCTCAGGCATTGAACAGCTCAGGCTGAATACAAATTTACCATGTTATGCTTGAGAATTCGCTGCACCACAGGTGTAAATACTTCGATGACAACCATTGATCGTGGACGCTCTCTGCAGTGCTGTGAGGAGCAAAACACAAACAGGTCAAGTTCACTCCAGTGTGGGGCAAATGGTCCATTTAATGAAGTGAAATGGTCATTCGTGAAATTCACTTGCATACACATTGTGCACGGATGAATTTGTGCGCACACGCACATATGCACACACACGCACATATACACACACACACATATACACACATGCCAAGCCACCAGAAAGAAATATAAGGTAAGAGGTACCTTGCAGAAAAACTCGCAGAGATCTGGAGGTGGATGGTTGTTTTCCAGCAAAGGCGCTATCGCCTGAAACGGAACAGAAAGAGTCGTGAAAAATAACTCCACTTTGGAAATAGTTCTATAGCTTACGACTCGCGCATTATTTTTTACGATAGCTATAATATCAAACAGCAATCAGGGTAATTGCATTTGAGAACATCTCTGTGTCACAGCACCGACCTCAATGAGCTGGAGGAGATGGCAATAAGTAAAGGGTGGTAGGTGGTAAGTGGTAATCTGCCGAAGTCCAGCTTTTACATTAACTTCTCTGGCCATGCTTATGGTGAACGCTCCCATCTCCCCCCTCCCTTGCTCAGCGTCCAACCCCAGTATTGTGTAGCGCTCCAACATATGATCCTTCATGACGTTATATAAATGCAAATCGTTGTTGCAGTAATCATGTGTATAATACTCCTAAATGTCCACTAACCCCAAGTCCATTTATGCAGTTTTTAACACAAATCTTAATGGAGATCAAAGGTGCGTTTCTGAAAATAAGGACTTCAGAACTTACCACGATGATATTCTCATGCTCTTGAGTGGTTAAGTTTAGGTTCTGAAAACAGAGAGGGGGAGATGAGAGAAAAAAAAGCCAATGATGTAAATTAAATTCATTCCGTATTCTGTTCCGGTAAATGTTTCTAGTTCTGCGGCATATTGCAACTTCACAGAAAATTGCTTTTGCACGTGTTACAGAAAACAATAATGAAAAGGGAATCGGATGAAACACGACTTGAGGAAAAATAATATTAACAGGGGTGTGAGGACAGAGCAGAGGGAATGGGGATCACTGTAGGTTACTGTAGGGAATTAGCAACAGCACAGGGTTAAATGGTCTCCATCTGTTATGCAAAGAATCTACTGGTCTAATGTAAATTGTTTGTTTATTTCATCATTTCCATGAATTTAAAAAAAAATTCGGGACATGTTAAACCCACATCCTCTCCGTTTCCCTGAATCATTCCATTGACAAGACCTGAATGATTATCAATAGATAAGAGTTTGTTGTAAGATATCCTCAATCCTGTCCCTGCTTGTCCTCTGCTCAGTGTGTAGGACCTGTCTTGCAGTCAATAGACTAGTTCTAAGATAGCCTGGGATTACTGACTGCCTGTGCCCCACCTACTTTCATGGTGGGACCGAGCCCAAAGCATTGGCAGTGACATGCAAGCAACTAATCAAACTCCAACTCGCACATTCCCAGCTCTCTCACTGCATTTTTTCCTTCTGGCCAAGACTTTCCTCCCCCCACCCCACTGCATTCACTCCAATTCAATTAATATACAAAACACACAGTCAAACCCAAAATGTCACAGTAAATCCTGTACAGCGCTTTGAGACGTCTCGACAGCATAAAAGGCACTACATCAAATGCAAGGTTTATTATTATTAATATACCAAAGATTTCTCTGAAATAAGGATTACGTGGCTCTTCATAGATTTACGCCTCATTTTAGTCTGCATCCTCATTATTTTCCCGTCGACAAATGAAACTATATGTAGAGGGTTTAACTGTAGCTTAAAATATAGCGCATGCGGAATGGCCTCTTTGTTCAGGCATTCGAGTCTGTTCTTACCTCTGACAGAAGTTTGGAGACGATCTCCAGCGGGGCTTGGTGAATGGAATCGTCCTGAAGTGGGGACGACAGGGCCATGTCTACCAGAGTGCGGATCTCCTTCAGGACAACTTCCCAGCGACTCGGATTGCTCAGTACCTTCTTGTACTTGTAAATTTTTTTCTGGAGGAATGGGATAAGGGAGGGAGGGGCACGGGGAAATAAACAAGAAGGAAAAACACTTGAAACTTGCGTAATGGGAAGTTTTTAAAGATCTGTGTTTACTTGGCGAGTGATTTGCTTATAAGGATGTAGACCTTAAAAGGGGAGTGACACTGAACAAATATCTCCCTTTTGTATCCTTTAAATGCTCCCAAGACGTTTCCCCACATGAATGGCGCTATATAACTGGAGTTGTTGTTGTTGTCATTGGATCATCATTGCCACAGCACGCAGTGATGCATTTGAGTACAATTTACATAATTTTGTTGGCATTCACCATGAAAACCAAAGATTGCAAAATGCCTTTTCCATGAAGATAATGTCCCTTAAAATGACTAAACTGGCACCATTTGCAAAGACACCCAGGACTTTCTGAATGTCCAATCCCTGCGAACGAAACTTGTGGAAACACTAGATAAGTCATTCTGACTGATGCATAAGCTGGTCGAAAATATAGTAGCAAAGGCATCCCAGGAAAGGACAAAAGGCGTAACGTGGTGTCATTCCATTACACTGGAGAACTGTAAACTAAACACAGTGATTGTGCTTAATCAGTGAGAGGCTGCAACTGGTTAATAACAGCCCTGAGAGACATCCAGCTGGTTTCTGTTAAAGGGGAACTAAATCATAATTGAAAAAAAATGATACAAAACAGGAACCCACTGAGCAGTGCAGCAACATGGCAAAGATCTCAGGTTGTAAAACTGTCTCTCTCTCTCGCTACCAGAGAGGGCATTACCACGTTTCCTTCCCAACAGAGGAATTCGACCAGAAAAGGCCTGGTGTCCGGCCTCATCTCTCCACGGCTTATAAATAAACCGCGCAAAAATGCTTATCCCAACCTTTTTGTAATGGGAATCCAATTTTATACGGTTAGAGTCAAGCGACAGGTGAGCCCAGATACGTGTTTCTGTGACTGTGTGCTCGCAAACCTTTAGTAGCAAAGATCAAAGACTAAAATGCACAGCGACGTGAAGACAGCATTGCTACTGGGTGGACAGGGGCTGCTAAGTTTAAACAACATGAGCCAACAGAAACATGAATGTGATATCGATCGCTTTCCCCTTGTGATGTATGGAGGACACGCCTGTGGACTCAAGCAAACTGCGACGCTCAACACACCCACAGAGTTAGCAAACAAAGTAAACTTTGCATTACTAGAACTGAACAGTGAATTGGAGGCGGATTTATTCATAGTTTATAGTTTGGGATTACATTCAGAACAAGTGAAACTATTTATCTGTCTAGAAAGAAATTAGCAACTTTTTATGTGTGAGTGCGTGCGTAGCTTTGAAATATTTTCACCATCTCGGAATTTGCAAACTATTTATCTTTTTGTGATAGGAGACCAAATTAAACTGGATGGTAGCCAACATGTTAAACATGAATTAAGGATAGGTTCTGCTCAGAAAAACCAAACCCTGTTTGCCGAGTGCTTAACAATCGCCAATTCAGTGGGGCACACAGAAAGAGACTAGGAACAAAAGTGACGCTCTTGGCTTTGAAAGCCCTTCCAAGTGCAGCTTTTGTATTACCTACTACTGTTTGGGACACAATAGCGCCAATGTTTCTTTGGCAAGCTTTGGCAACAGCTTTATTGACTGTGTCCATTAGGTTCTATAGCTAATCGCTCTGTATATGTTTTCAGAGTCGAAATCACACCCAGTCAGGAAAACAACAGAGGCCTGACCTCAACGCGGACAAAACAATTGCGTTTGAGCCATTTGGATTTAATTCCCAAGGAACAAACAGGTAGATGCAGAGGGAAACTGCAACCTATCAATCCGAGTCCACGTGACCCAAAGGAAGGCAATTTGGTTTCGAACCAAGCGCCGAGTTGTACCTGGGAATGTGTCCAAAGAAAAAAAAACACACAAAACGGCATTCCAAATATTCACCCTCCAGATGAGAATAATGGATGGTTTTGTGAAAGGTAAAATTAGAAATGTCCATTATGCGGGCAGCTTGATCCCATTTTGGGAAGGCGCTGATGGATTGGGTTTCAGATGTGCGGTTTATACCGTCTCAGCTCAGCTCAGCTCCACCAAAGAGTTACCCATTTCCACTGGGGAAAAAAAGTGGAAGGTTTATATTCAATTAATAAAAAAAGGACAGTCACTACATGATTTTTTTTTAAGAAATGACTGAATTGGAAGGTGGGGACCAAGGGAGGATAGCAGCAGGGCTTAATCGCCCTTAGTTCTTATTTTGGATAATCCCCAAAACTAAGTCACAGCCAAACAATTTATGAGCTATCCTTGCTCTGAGAAAAATGCATTTGGCATCTCCTCTGTTGTTTGTAAAGCCTCGGCCAGGCATGAAGCAGAGTTGTGTAGAGTGGAGTGAGAGATCAATCGAATCATTCTAAAGGAGACATGAGAAATAAAAACTTCAAGGCATGTGGGGAAATTTCTGTGTTTCTAGGTTTGCTCTCCCCGTCTGGGTAGTCAGTGTTACAACTGACTCAGCACCCTGAGGGAAGGACAAGGGGGCAAGCAACCAGTGTTCATGATCAATGAAATGACCTTTATTGTGAAATGCACATGTGTCAATATCAGGCTAGAATGGAGTTGTGAAATCTCACTGAGATTAGGTTGCGTTAAGGTCTGGTTTGGATTTCCTTCACCTGTGCTGACTGTTCGATTGACAAGACTATTCTTTTGTGATGTTTAGGAGACAGACTCAATAAAGCCACATGCGCACGACACCCAAACCCACAGACAAGAACTGAAAGCTTTGCACACATTTGGAGAATCGTGAGAAAAATAAGCAAACATAATTTTTTTTTAAGGCATGTCACAAGAGCCAGCGCTGCTCATAACATGGACAAATATCTTTCCATTATTTTCCACAACAATGTGCTAGTTCCTCATTAATGGCCTTATACGTCGCTTTGCCTCAACAATAAGCCTTGCCTTTGCATTTGAAGCAAAGCCAGAGGCCTGTGAAGCTTCACTTCCTCTTATAACTAGAGATTTGTCCATTCAGGAAATATTTGCTCACACAGAGGGCTGCAAGAATGTGGATTGCAATGCCCCAGAATGCCTCAGACACAAAATCAATTGGGATGGTCAAATTGGAGATAAAATACTTGGGAAGTAAGTGTATGGAGAAAAGGCGAGGAAATGGGATTAAAAGATATGGGATTAAATGATGAGGCTTGATTTAATAAACTAGGCTCAATTGTGCAAAGGATCCAAACCTCACTGCAGCCGCACCAGACAGCACACTGCAAACATGCATCCATCGGAAAATCATCAGGAGATTAATTTTTCGACAAAATTGTGAGTTACAAAATGTCCAGCTCCATCCCCAAGGTTTTCAATAACTGGGGCCTCTGAATACTTAAGAGCTAAAGGAGCATTGTCTTTACGATACAGTAAAATGTTGGGCGGACTTTTTTTAAAAAAAATAACCTGTCTAATGAAGGGACGTGATGGCACATCTTGAGGTGTCTTCTGTCATTGCTTTGGGTATTTGTAGTAGGGTTACCAAGCAATTTTTGCAGGAAGACCATTGTCTCTTTACGAGTTGCGAGATCAAGTTTTTGAGCACATTGGTACACTTGTACACACACACAGTGGTTCAACTCGTGTTCTTCTTGGGCTATAGTTTAGAACAAAATGAAACATCTCTTCAGGCCTCGACATGGATAATGGGTCTCTATTCTGAAAGGGCGAAGAGATCAGCTGCATTTTCCAGTTAAAATGCACTGGAGTTTGGGGCAAAATCAAAGAGTGGAATAAAAGCGACACAGGAAAGCATTCCTCTTGCAAGCCAAGTTTGGGGAGGAGTTGAATCCCCAAATCTCTGACTGTGTGGGAGAGGTAACATTTCTGCTGTGTAATTCCAACTGTAAAGAAAAATGGGGGAGAGCAAAATCTGCAGGCAGATTTTGGCATAGTTCGATTGCTAGAAGACGTCCACTTAGTGCTTCCGACAGGAATGTGGCACGCGGGGGAAGAGAGATGAAAATAGCATGTCAGAATGCAGGAAAGAACTCCCCCTTTGAACTTTCATCTTTGAAGTGAAACTTTCCACCGCATTTTTGGGAATGAAATCATTTCATGTTTGAATGCAGCTGTCTATCGGAGACAGTCCTTGAGCAAAGCCACCCCGGATTGTCCTAAGACTTTTTTTTAATTCATTCCTAATATGCATTTTCTTCTGGTTGCAGCGTCAACGAAGGAGAATGCCCATCAGGTCAAAACTATGGCAGCCAATGTGCAACCCATATGAACTGCAAGATAATACGCTCAGCACTTTGCTGGCCTCAAGTAACACATTTGTTGGGACATGTGGTTTGGTTACGTGTGTTGTAAACCAGTATGATCCACAATAGCTGCCTTGATCTTTTTTCCCCTGTATTGAGCAAATTTGTGTTCTGACAGGGTCAACGCAGCAGTTACAGGTCAACAAATAAATTGGTTTGTCAGCTTTATGCATGTGTGTTATTCCTCGCCTCTGACCCACACACTTGCAGTTAACGTCTACTGCCCAGTTACATATGTAACTGGAATTAAATGATCATTCACCTTACATAAGGATGACACTATGACTACTTTGTTGCAATGTAAGATTTCTGGAGCAAAGAATGCAACATTTTATAACCAACCAAGTGCGATAATTATGAAATGTTGCTCTTATTGGAGAAAGGATTTATTTTCTCCTCTGAGCAAGGCATCATTGCTGCTTGATCTTAGCGCTCTCTCGCTCTCTCTCTATTTTGACTTGTGGTAACTCTTTCCTGGAAGTCGATTGTGTGAAGAACAGAGCTTGCATTTTCAAGTCAGCATTTTCAGAAGCTTATTATCAGCCAATTGGAGGAAGAGGCAAAGGCATCAGTGAATATTTATCTCCCTCCCCCCAATTTGTGCTTCCTCAAGACAAGAGAAGAAAGGTTATTTCATGTAAAGAAGTTAAAGGGTGAGACAACTCTGCAGCTCGTGTACTGTCCCGCACCAGGCTTCGCGATCACATCACTCCCACCCTCGCTCGCCTCCACTGGCTCCCATTCCCCAGAGGATTGATTTCAAGATCCTCATCCTCACCTACAAGGCCATTCACGGCCTTGCTCCCTCCTACCTCTCCAACCTACTATCCCCCTACCTACCTGCCCGTACCCTCCGTTCCTCTGGCTCCGGTCTGCTCCACGTCCCCCGCCCCAACCGCCCTACCATCGGTGGTCGGGCCTTCAGCCTCTCAGCCCCCAGGCTCTGGAACTCCATCCCCCAGTGCCTTCGCCTTGCTTCCTCCCTTTCCTCCTTCAAGGCCGGTCTCAAAACCTTTCTCTTTGACCGTGCCTTCAGCTCCCCTCTCGACTCTCTTCCTCCTCCTCGCTCCCTCCCTTCCCTCCCCTCACCCTGACCATTTCCCCCTCCTCGCTCCCTCCCTTCCCTCCCCTCACCCTGACCATCTCCCCAATGCTCGGGTCATGACCCAACTGTGCAGCGCCTTGGGACGTCCTCCTGACGTGAAAGGCGCTCTATAAATGGAATCTTGTCTTGTCTTGTCAAAGTTCAAGGTTTGCGGGAAACCTCAGCTCCAGAGGTGGGACAAGCAAACTGATTGCTGTATTAGCCTCAACAGTAATATACGTTTCCTGGAGTTAAATCACTTCAGCCCTGAGTGGAATCCACTCAACTTGTTCAAGCTGATTGCTGCTGTGTCCCAATCTTTTCGTACAAGTCAAACAAGCGGGAACATGCAATGTTATGTCTGATTGCATCGTCAGCGACATGCCAGGTTGATCAAACTCACAGCTCGGAGGAGAATCTCCGCAAGGAGAAAGCAAGGCATGAATGTATTCACAACAAGGTCTAATTTGCAATATTCGCAAACCAGGTTCATTACATGCATACACACACATATCAATGCATGAAATAATACTGTGATCCTACTCTTTACTCTTTGATCAGGGTTGCCAACTTTCAGATGTGCCTCCTCAGCAAAACAGGCAGAGCAGCGCAGGTCAATAACCAGCCCGCTCTTGTCAGTGTCGCTAAACTTATATGCGTGAGGAATTTCTTGATTGGAATTCTGAACGGGCTAGCAGCCACACGGTGACATTTAATTTCCAGTTTTGACCTTGGAAATATGAACATTCTCGAGGATTTTAAGAATGGTAAAGGCTTCTTATCAAAAGCAGATTCAAAATTCTGCGTGGATCAGCGGTTGGCAAAAGGAAAAATGATTAACAAAATATGCGAGACAGATTGCGATTTGGTTGTACTGTAATATGTCACAGTGGAGCCCTGTTAGGACACGGATTGTTCGACGTCTGTAAAATCCTAGCCAGCGTGACAATTGCTGGGTCAACCCTTCCGCATACACTGTGAGCATGCGAGCGGAAAGCAGCCTGGCTCTCCGCAGCAGAGATTTTAAAAAATGACCAACTTCCAGGTCATCAGATAGTTCTTGATGTCACTTCAAGAAGCCATTTTTTAGTGGGTGAGAACCCGTCTGGTGTTTTGAAGTGAGCTGGCTTGCTTTCTGCAGACATTTTGCAGTAAATATCAGGGGCAGCATTCGACCATGATATAATGTTACAACACAGCATGTTATGGGGTTCCATGGTATATCCATGGCTGATGGTTTTTTGCCCGTCAATCCTAACAAGTATCAGCTGCCTAGTTTGAAACAAATCTGCACGTTGTCTTCAAACAAAGGGAAGGAAGAGGCACAGAGAACAATGGTTGAAGTACTTTGTAAGTCTGTAACCCATTCAGCATTCAAACCTTCGAGTTTATCACAGTCGGAGATTTTCCAAGCAAAGACGTTTCTCTTAAAATTTAGCGTAGATTTTTTGGTGAAATCAGTAGCTGAAGTGGGGATGAAAATGGTGACATTTTATAGCAGATTCCATCCATCAAATCGGCTATGAAATATTGGAATTTACCGTCCGCCCCCCCCTTCACCACCAATCTCTTATGTTTTTAAGGCCCTTCGAAGAAATATGCACTTTTCTGCCACAGCAGCAAGGCAAATGTTCAGAAAACATTGCCTTTAATCAGCACAACTCTTGCGTCTGTAAGATGAGAGACTGCGATGTTATTAAACATGATTTGGGAATTTCGTAACAGCCCAACAACTAATTCCATGGCTACTGTATTTTATTGTGTGCTTTGATAATGCCAGAAACACAATGTTACAGTCAGGACCAAATTTTTTTAACAAAACGTTCAAAAAACAGGTATATCTGGAGACGCAAATAACATTCCTATCATGAGAAGTCTCTATTCCATCTCTCCAACCTTGAATAAGATTGTGTGGGCTGCAAAGTTTTCTTTCTCAATGAATACTGCATTCATAAAGTCTCGTCTTTTATATATACATATATAATATTTTTAAATATATGTACGTTAGCGATAAAAGTTTAGCTTTGGCTGTAAGAAAATAAGACAAAATGTCCTGGTACAAAAGAATTGGATCCTTCGGTGAAAAAGAATGATGAGAGAAAGATGAGTGAGATCTTTTGAATAAAGAACAACAAATAAACAGTGAACAACAGTGAAGGTGGATCGCTGAACGGCCCTACCTCCAGACTGCGAAAGGGTAGGAATTCTATGTCAAGTGAGCATGGAAAATAATGTTTAGACAGACTAAACAAAGGGCATAATAGCTGTTTAATGCGGTCCTGAGGCACCTCGGCTACACATTGCTCAACACCCCTTGAGGAAAGCCGCACACAGCAGGTTCAGGTGCGATGCCTTGACTTGTGGATAAAACATGGCATGGGCAAACAGAAAAAAAAAATCACATATAACAACATAAATTCAAAGAAAATAAATGGTGGCCTGAAATAATTAGGCAGATTCTAACAGGCCTGTCCTCGTCTCGTCTCGCTACCAGAGTTCCTTTCACAAGCATATAATTCCAGGCCGAGTTTCAGAGTAGATGAATTGAGCATGCTTATTATAGTTAATCATAGCCTGGCTCAAGCCATAAAAAGTCACTGTATTGCAGTGTCATGTGTCAATGCGGATAGTTACACAAATACTTCGGAAAGTAAGTCCTGCCACAAACATTCCGCATCTGGCTTGCTACGGATTTCCGCTAAAATCTCTCATCATGTAAGTTTCAATGGGCCGCTGACTGGTTGAACCAGAACCCACTTTGGTTTCTGAATGGAATTCGAACTATCAGGATTGTAACTGGATTCCTTGACAAGGGAATGTGAGTCATGCGAACGGGGATTTCTTCCAATGACTCAAGTACGTCACACCAGACCGTCAGAAACCCGCTCTGACATCATCTACATCTGGAGCAGAGTTGCTATGGATCAACGGGAATTGTAAACAGGAACACTGTTTCAGAACTATGCAAGCTATACTCCAGCCAGCGTTCAAATATCTCTCACGTCATTGCCAGTGATCCATGTCTACCAATGGTAGAAATTCACCCACAAAGTACACAGTCACTCCACTTTACAGTATATCCTGTGAAGCGCTCTCCTCAAGTGAAAGGCCCGATGTCAAATGCAAAGCCTTTATCATTATGGCAGTGCAAGGCTTATTATTATTATTTAAAACCTGTGTCTCCCTAGTTTTAATGTTAACACCAATCGTGACAGCACACTGTGACCAAAGAACAATACGACAATTTTTTTTTAAATGCCATATTTTTCATTAAGAAAAATGTAGAATTGATCTGAAAATGCTACCATTATTGCAGGTCCCTAAACAAACATTTCAGAGCTGTTTTCCGATCTCTTTTATATAACAATAACAACAACAACAGAGCTAGAGGCGTCGCAACATTATCGATTGCCTATCCAAATACTTACCTTCCACTGAAGCGAATGAAACCACTGGTCTCGCAGGTAACTGTTCGCTGCCTGAAAAGAAGATGAAAGATTCTGTTAATTGTAAAGGAATATGGACAAGTAATAAACATACCAAACTACTGAAATGCTGTTAATCATATGGATCTTAGAAGTAGCAAGATCACCTACCACAAAATAGTCATTACACTTAACAATAAATTTTGTGAAGCGCTTTGCAATAAGTTTCAGACGTGAAGAATTACTATTGTTATTCTATCACTCCAGCAGCAAACATTTAAATCTACCGATATCTGATCCTAAAGCCAGATTGTAGGATACAGGTGCAGTACTCTGTTCAAATGATTATTACGAGTGAAAGTTTTAACACAGACACAACTCACTGTTTCAGATTGAAGTCTGATGCCAAATTCTTAGCCTTCTCTTAAGAGCTAACCGTAGGCAAAACACAGGCCTGTTCTGCCTATAGTATTAATCGGGGATAATGCAGAGCACCCGAATTGGTCTGAATCCCAGACCCGCTCCGGAACATTCTGTTCTGCACATCTCGTTCGTGCTCCCGCAGTCACAGTGGACAATTTGCCGCTTTATGACTCCTTACAGCTGGTGATATAGCTCTGGCATATAGCTTTTATAAGCAATCCACTGGATGTGCACTGTAAGAGTCCTGGTAGCCTGCTGAATAATGGGGTGTCTTCCTGAGTTCGCGGAAACGTGGAGCTCAGTCCTGCACGCAGTTTCCTCTCTCACATATACAAACAAAGAGTAAAGCCCTTTGGTACTCAATGGGATAACGGCTGGTTGTAACAATGAACCAAAAAAATCTGAGCCCTTTAATAAAGGTCGGAGAATATTCTCTAACTCGTCTGACTCGGGTGGTGGGGGTGGGGGGGGGAGTGCAGTATTTAATGTGAATTTGAATTACCATAGGCACCATTAGCGTTAGTGATAATCATCACATTGCATACCGCATTTCTCTACGTACACAATACATTGCCACTGAAAACAGGCTTGGCTGCTTGATCGAATTTGTTCAATTTTTTTGTGTTCTTACGCAATGCAAAGTGCCGCTATTATATAAAGGTATTGATTCTCTGCTTTCTGCTCAAATGTTTTCTACCCTCGATCCCGACCGAGATCAGAGTCTCCCTGAGGTCACAGAGCCAACAAAATAAAGAGAGAGTGAGCCAGGATTTGACCTTAATCCATTAATGTCAGAGTAAAGATTTCAAGCGCTCGCAGGCTCTCTGTGTTCTGCAAAACATTGGCAGTGGCTCTTATTGACATCTCCTATTACTCTGGGCACTATTCCTGTTCTTTATTATCAAGACAGCAATTTCAAAAGGCCTAACAACAGTGTGCTGAAAGTAGTTGGGTTCCTGAAAGGTGCACACACTGGCTTAGGGGTTTCTTCCAAGGGATTACTAACTGCGCTACATGCAGCTAATCACTGCACTGCACACAGTTGCTTCAGTTTCATTCAATCTCATCTTCCCCATAACATTGGGATCATGGCAAAATCAATGGGTCTAAAAGAGAGTGTTCCCAACCCCATGACCTGATGAATTGGCGGAACAGACATGATGGGCTGAATTGGCCTCCTTCCATGCTTATATCCCCACCAGTTTTCAAGAGAGGAGAAAATTGCCTAAAGGAATAAGGACATTCTTCGGGCAGGTAGTGGCATTTCGCAACAACAATAATAATAAGGTTTCAAAGTGAATTGACTGTATATTTTGTGGGGGGAAAAGCAGCAGCCAATTGTGCACAGGAGTGTCCCACAAACAGTCGCGGATTGAGTGACCAAATTATTTTTTTTTAAAATGATTAAGGGATTATTACCCCCGGAAAAGCAATCTGCCAATTGACCAACAACCGGGTTGCTACTTACTGCTAGGTAAACAGAGGCGTGTGGCGTAAGGAAGCTTGCCTAAGGTTTGGTCCCGCCCGAGAATCAAACCCGTTTGAGAGGCGAGTGCTCTAACGAATGAGCTACAAGACTCCACAATTGACTCCCCCATTGACCCTGTGGCATCAGTCCTGAGAGCAGCCAGAAATAGCTGAACACAATCAGCGGTGACATTAAGCTCCAGTTTGGTTTGGGTGCGGCAGGATTCAGTTCCTGTACAAAGAAGCTTCCCCACCCAGCACAAGCTTTGTGCCTCAACACACTACATCTGTGCTTCAGCTTCTGTGGAGCACCACAGTGCTAATTTGACATTTCTGCTTCTTATATCCTTCTGCTAGCTTAGAAGGGAAATGCCCCTCGGATGCGGAGGAGGAAATTAATGCAAAAACAAACAATAAGATGGTGGTTAATAAAAGAAAAAAAACCTGAATTGATTTAACCAGGTTCCTTTGTGTTGGTGTGACCCAGCTGTCAATCGTGATCTCATTATCCTCCACATCTGGAATCAAACCCAACATACATTTCACTTTCCTTTACTCTTTGAGTATGGAATGTGCACACATGTTCTAGATTTCTGCCGGGACAGAAGGCTTGGAAGCCATGTGTAATAATAATCATAATAATCCTTGTATTTGATATAGCGCCTTATCACATCGTTGAGAGATCTCAAAGTTTTTCACAGAATATACTGTAAAGTGGATTGACTTTGTGTATTTTGTGGGCAGTTATTGACTGTGTAAGTTCTGCTGAGGGGAGGGAAGAAGGAAGGAAAGGACGGCTACAGAAAATCTTTGTAGCACTTTTAGGAAGAGAGTCCAGATAACTGCAGTTATTTAAAATATTTAACAATAATTTAGGCCAAAGTTATCCTGACAGAATGCAGATTTCATTTTGATACACAGAATGTAGACGCAGGATATCGATCGGACTGAGGAAATATAAATAATTGCAAGAATTGTTATTATTACTTCAAAGAGCAGAATGACGTGCCGAAAATTGGAACTTTTATTGTCCTCAAAATGTATCCGCATCCCCCACTTCCCCTCCCGAAATTTTAAAAACTTCATTGACAGATGCAAAACTCTGGATTCTGTGCAAAAAGTAAGCCATTAACCAAATAACAGTGTACGTTGCCAACATCTGAACAGCTGCCAAAATGTGTATTTCCTAGTCAAAACACGGCTCTCTAAAGTGAGTGCAAACAACTTGTATTGAAATACGCTCCCCCTGAATAGGTTGGAAAGGTTACTTCCTTGTGGATGAAAAAATATTGACATTGAAGGAAAGAAATATCTAAACTCAGGTCACCACTTGACAGGATTAGACGAGAGTTCTCAAAACTTAACTTTATTAAAAAGGGAATTGAGTAATATTTAACATTCCAAGCAGCGACTGTTTGCAATAGGCAATATTTAACAATGGTATCAATGCCATCAATAAACACATCTCGCTTTAACAAGCCTGCTTGTCTGCTGGCTGGCAAACAAGCTTACACAAACGGAGAGAGTTCTTTGGAAATTTGTGAGGATCCTAAGGTGTTGTTCATCAATCAATCAATCAATCAATCACACTAGCTTCAAGTCCTTCACAGAAATAATCACTGATATTTAGTCCCTTCCTGCGTCACTCCTTGGGTTTACTACCAAGTTAATAACAACGTGTTTAAGAAAAACCCAATCCAACCACATGCCTCAATGCAAAGTGGTGTGTGTGATGCACTAGCTTATACTCCATACAAGTCTTGACATTACTTTTCTCCAAAAACTCCCTACACTTGCCTCTAAAATTCCACCCACTCTTCGCCTTGATACCATTTTATCCTGAAATTTAAAATTGTGCAGAATTGTGGAAATCTTGTTAATTTGGAAGCTGGTTGAGCCGAACTGACCTGTTTTCTGTGCTGTAACAGTGTATGTAATTCTATCTATGTAAAAAAAACCTTGGCAGCATGGACTGGTCACTGGTCATATTTGCCTATAAATTTTAGAGGCAACTTCTTGAAGTAAATGAGGGTTTTTTCTCCCGAAAGAGTTATGTGGGACAAATCCACAGGTTATGAACATATGGAGCGTGAAAACAGAAATATCCTGGGTTTTATATCGAAAAGCTAGCGAGAACGTATTACCAGGTGGCTAATCAAGCAGCCAGAGTTCGCTTCTTTCCGCGGTGTTTTAAGACTGTTAATCAGCATCTCAGAACATTTGAACTTGGGTAGACATTCAGGATTGACGCTGGTCAAGATTAATAGGGGAGAGTCTAACTTGCAGATCAGAGCCACACCCGGTCTTGCCTTGCTTTTCCTATCTTAGTCTAGAGAAGATGAGGTAAAAAAACACCTACTTCAGGGATCTATTCACTGGCTGTGGTGCTTCAATAGCATTTAAGTCAGAAATGAGAGAGAAGCAGCTGCCTACCACAGTGGATGGGAATCCTCGATCGAGGAAAAGGGCAGACATTTCAGCTGCTCTGGTGTAAAAGGTGGCATCGTCAGAGCAGATTCGGCAGAGGTGGAGGAACTAGCAAAAGGGGATGGAGTCTTTACAGGAGAAGCAGCTGCATTTGACAAATCTAGTGCTCGCAGTCCAAGCTAATTGAAGCACCGCCCAAGTTAGGCCATTAACACAGTCTCCTTATACATTCAACGACAGCCGAAGGCAAATGAGTGAAATTTATCGACCCCCATGTAGATTTGGCAATGCTCTAAAAACGAATACCGGCTCTGCTAAAATCAGTTTCATGAATGGTACATAGGGGCTCACAAAATAGTTTTATTGGCAGGTTCGTTGGTGTTTTTATTTGATAATGCTTGAAGTTCTCATTCTAAGAATTTGTGACTCTTGCTCTGCAGTCTTGAGATGTCTGCTATGTAATTCTGTGCAATTATTCCTAGAGCCGTTTCAGGTCCTCAGTTACCAAACTCGATCTTTATTTCTGGGCAATAGAGCACATACAGAGCAACCTCTTCATAATAAACTCACGACTTCCCCCACTACCAACACCTCCACGTTAAAAGGAAACATGAAAAAATGGTTGCCTTCCAGGTCATCAGGTCACTGCCAACTCCCATTTCCTTCTCAAAGTGACATCAGCAGGCACTTCCTGCACATATGGAAGAAGTGACATCATCAGCAACCAGACAACCTGGAAAGCAGCCTTTTTTTTTAGCTTGCTAATCAGTGGAAGAAGCTATGTTTCTGGTACGACACCGGTCCTCAATGACATTGAACACCTTTTGTTTAAAATGCTTTGCCCCTCTCCACCATCTCCCTCCCTCCCCCACCCCATCCCAAACAAAAGACCATGTCAAATTTGGGTTCATGCTGAGTTTAGGTTTACCAATAAGCAGCGTGAATGGGTTTTACCTGAAGTAGAACCGTGCCTCCCGGAATGGTGAGCTGTAAACAGTACTTAGGTGCATTTTCCCATGACAGCAGCTGAACATCCTCCACAGCGCTGTACCAGATGGCATTCTCCATGTAGCCAGTGGGCTGTAAAGAAAGCAAAAGGCATTCAGTCCAAGGCCTTCCGTTTCAACCAAAGCACATAGAAATGTACCTACTTTATACGTTTCATCAAGACAATCAGTTCAACCACTTATACTCTATAAGGGATAAGGAGATGTCTTGTTGCGATTAGTTTTGCCAGATCAGTTGGCATTGTCCCTGAATTCGATAGCATGTCAAAGTGCTTAACAGGTACTTACTGGCAAGTGTAACCATTTTGCCATACATTTCTTCTGCTCAAATATTTATCCAATTCCCTTTTAAAAGCCAACATGCATTTGCCTCAACAACAGATCCAGGTAATTGTGGGGGCTTATGCAGTAACAGGCTGCTAGAAATTATGTCTCTCCTGGGTGCACAAAGTCTTCAGCCAGTTCTGAGGTTTCATATTGGCTTTGTTCGTTGGCTCAACTGGTTGCCAGAGGATTGCAGTATTCAAACAAGATGTGTATGTTTCAATGCTCAAGAGAATGCCAGTTAAATCTGAGAACCATTTGCTGTTTGATTATGTTCTCTCCCATTCTGCACCCTGGTCACTCACTCCATGGCTGTTTCTTGGGACATTGCTGTGTGCAACTGACTGCCGAACTTCACCCACAAAACACAGTCAAAAAACACTTCATAGTATATCCTGTGAAGCGCCTTGAGACAGCTCGAACAAATGCAAGAATTATTATTCGGTAATCACCCTGTGAGTGTTGGCAAGATGCTCATCATTGATAAAAGTTCCATCATATGCAGTATTCTTCATTCCATCATGCATACTGTCACATAGAATGGATCGTTTTCTAGCGGTGAATAATAGAGGGACCTAATAACCCACAAATCTGCAGCATCTCTTAATTCATAAAATTCTACGAATAGTCCCCAGTCTTGTTGCGGTTTCTAATATCAATTCAATGCAGTGGTCTTATGGTGCATTAATGCTGTTCTTTGGTAGCAGTGTATGTGTGAGTGTGTTTATGTGTGTCCATCCAACATATTATTTGACAAACATAGCCGCACAAAGGTGATGGCCCTTTAATTCTGCCCCCCCACCCCCACCACCTCCACTCCCATACTTTCCTTCTGATCTGGGGAGGAAATGGCCTTTGAGCTTGTAAAATTCTATGAGAGGTCAGATCCTCCTTTGAGCAAAAGATTCTGCATAAAATGGGAATTAACTGTATGAGGAATGCTTATCAAGCAGTTCCACAGCTAAATTTCAACGATCTAATCAGTGTAAGGTCATGCAAGAAGCTTATATAAAAAAAAACTTACTGAGATACACGCAGTCGGGGATAGAATGATGTCCTGTGCAAAATGATATTTTCAAAGGCAGCAACGTCTTAATAATAATCTGTGCCTTTGATATAAAGCCTTATCACTTCGTTGAGACCTCTCAAAGCGCTTCACAGAATATATTGTAAAGCGGATCAACTGTGTTTTGTGAGTGAAATGCGGCAGTCAATTGCCCACAGCAGTGTGCCACAAACAGGCGTGGATTGAGTGACCACATTTTCTTGAGGGATTATTACCCCTTGAAAGTGAACTGCCAATAAACAACCATGGTTCCTTCCTACTTACTGCTAGGTAAACAGAGGCGTGTGGAGTAAGTAAGACATCTTGAGAGAGATGTCTAGCCAGAGTAATGCCTTTTAAAGAAGTCCTACTGTTATTAAAATACACTCTTTGGCAATTGTTTTTGAGCCCATTTATTTGCAAGCACTTGACTCACCGCTGCAAACCTGTCAAAATTCAATCACTTTCACACATCTTTATTATTGGAAAGTACATGGTTTTTCCTTCAGCCTCTTGAAACAGAGATAGGATTTCCAGGCACTTTCTCATGCAGTTTATGCTGGTTAAACTCCAGCAGTTCCCCCAACATACACTGGGCAGTCCCCAGGCATTTGCTTTCACCAACCTGTGGCCTAATGCTCCCTGGAATTAGATCAGCAGGGTGAATCCCTATGGGGAGAGAGTGCACATTTGATTCCAGACGTGGGGAGATTTCCATGCATTCCACATTCCCCTATGTCCCAAAATAAAGCATTTTCCCACAAAGAAAAGTGTTTTTTCTTGAATTTTCAATGTCCAAAGGTTTTTAGTTCCTCTAAAGTAATAGTTTGTGTTTGGAAATGGAGTGGTGTTCCAGAAAGGCGATGAGAAGGTAACATAAGATTGGCAAAAGGCTGCCAAAATAAATTCCATCAATAAACCCAAATCCTGCTTCTAATATCCCGTGAGATGTTTATGTATCAGCCAGCAATTATAGAAGGTATATCAGTGCAGCGGCATGTTATTCCAAGTAATTTGATGGATCTCATTAACCTGAGCTAACCAGTAGAAGCAAAGAATTAATTCTGCATGAAGCTGGCAATAGTCTTTCTTTGAAAATGTCTCACTGTTCTGTCTCCACTCAGGAAACAGTGCTTGTGATCTGCTGTTCCACCCATGATGCTATCAACCTCCACAAGGTCTCCGTGATCAAATGGGACCATTCAGGAAGTGGCATCATGCCACTAGGTACAGTGTACTGGACAGTGGAGTAAAGGCACTGTTTAGGCACATTGTTGAGGCAGCGTAGCCTGTTTAAGCAGGAAGCATGAACAATTTATGTGAGGAATAATTGCCTCCAGTCTTCAACTCTCCCACACTAAACTGCACACAGACCCTTGAACCTCAATTCAATCAAATGCAGCAGTATCCCTGGGCTAATTACGCAACATGAAAGGGAAAATGTCTTATAGAGTCCATAAAAACGCCAGCACATTCTGGGGGACTTTGATATGCAGACATGACACCGAGGCAGGGCTCAATTCTTGCACTGAAAACAAGCCAATAAACACATGCTGAGAACGAGACAGATTTCTCTCTCGCTTTCTCTCTCGCTCTCTGCGGGGCTCAGGCCATTCTGCCCAAGATTGTACACATTGGAAACATTTGCTGAAAAAAAAGTAAATCGTTTGCAAAAAAACACATTCAATTCAATGTCAGTTTAAGTTCAGATCCAAAACACTTGGCAAAGCAGTGGCTGTGGCTGCTCAGCATTTGAAAATAAGTCATTTTCAGTGTTGACATCTTTTACTTTAACCCCTCAGGATGTGAGTAGCTCGCTCACGGCAACGACAATAATGTTTGTTAAAAGTACAGTAATGATGCTACTTAAAACCTTATTACCGTGCTATTCACGATACTCACAATACCAAAATATAAAGGTACAATTTCAAACATGAACTTTATTCCTGTTCTGTGATGTTGAACTTCAACTTTAACCCGGTCATGTCAACATCCCCCCCCATCACACATACACCCGACGTGAAAGGCGCTATATCAAAGTAAATTTCTGCTGTATTATCTCTCAGTTCCAAGAAACACAATTTTTATTCAAAATCACTAAAGCACTTGATCAGTTACCTAATATTAAACTCAGTGCATGTCACTGAAACAAGTCAGCACCCTTAAGGGTTAATAGTTCGGTCAGTGTTTTTCCGCATTCCCTTCCGATGAGCCCCTCAACTGTGCATTTGGGTGTTTGAAGTTCTGGAAATTGTTTACACTGAATCCTGAAAGGTTTTAGCACCTGGGTGTCCAGTTTCTCTCACATGCACACACATTGACAGAAGAAAGCTGTGCTGTACTGTACCCAGAGAGGATCAAAGCTTGGGATCAAACACATCAACACCAAGAACACATTAAAAAGGCCATTGTTCTTCACGACTCACTGACAATGGGATGACATCAGACAACCATCACTCCTACTTTCAATTGTGATTACGGACTAAAACGTCAAAAGGAATTAAACCCACTTCTGAAGCGTTCCACACTCTCTCTGTGCCTTACACGTATTAAAACACGTAGCTCGGTGGTTGGAGCACTCGCCTCGCAAGCGAGAGACGTAGGTTTGATTCCCAGCAAGGCAAAATCTTGAGCAAGTTTCCTTACTCCACACGCCTGATAATAATCCCTCAAGAAAAAAAAACAATAATAATTTGGTCACTCAATCTACAACTGTTTGCGGGATGCTGCTGTGCGCAATTGGCTGCCGCGTTTCACGCACAAACATACAGTCAATTCACTTTACAGTATATTACTGTGAAGCGCTTTAAGACATCCAGAAGACATGAAAAGTGCTATATTAAATGCAAGGATTATTATTATCATCATCATCAAACTCTCATTTGAATGGAGATATGAAAACAGATTATTCAGAAACCTAGCCCCTATGGAATTACTTCCATTTAAGAGCCGTGGTGTTCTATTTGTGTGTCATCTGTGATCCATGTGTATGTGCCTTTAATTATATAATAGTGATGTCATATTTTTTTAAATGGGAGATCTATTGATAGTATGGATAATGATAGTGTGTTTGGAATCAATGTGAGGTATCTGGGTAACATTACCTGAGTGATTTATCAAGACTCAAGTTTTCATCCACGTAGTTTACATTTAATTCCATAAAGGATCTCCTGATAAGGCACTGCACCTGTTTACCACTAAACCATATGGACCTAAAGATTACAGGCTTAATTCCTGGTCGGTCCTACTTTAGTTAATAACGGCAATAAAACATAGCTGATTTATAAATAGCGAGAATATAGAAGGATAGGAACATTAAAAAAAACAGTAGTGGAGTAACAGCTTTATCAGTGTCAATACAAGTAATAAAAAGAGCCAGGCTAATGAAAACAGTACTTACAAATTCAATAACTATTGCTAAGTAACTACTGCACCTAGAGGAGTCAGTTTTGACACTAATCTCACTCCCCCACTTTATCCCCCAGGACTCTCTTTATTCAATGCAAAATAAAACACTCTCGAACATCAACTTGTTTGTGAAACCTGTCATTCACCTGCAAGAACGCTGTCCTGGCCAACAATCTCTCTGGGAAAATGAGTAATTATTGTTGTTGCTGTCATTCACTTCATGGCTGACTGTGGTACCTTGCTGTGTGTAAATTATTTGAACCCACCATAGAAATAGTATCCGCAGGAGGTGAAAA